AGAGCTGAGGCAAAACTGGGCTATTGTATATATTACTTACAAGAGACCAACGTGCAACACTTTAATCTTCTGTTTCTTATCTGCTTCAAATAAATTCTCTTTAATTCCTCAAAAACGATGCTCTTGTGTTGTTCTTACTTACTTTACCGTTTGTTTATATTATTGGTGATTTATTGAGGTTTCGTTCACTTATGAATACGAGTCCAGGGTGTATGTTTATGAATCTAGCTGCTGTGACAAATGAATCAGTGGCTCTCATGAAAGTACATATCCATTCAAAAGGATAGTAAAATTGAGGACATAAATTTAATATTGGAAATGAATAAAACATCGGTAGCAAAAAAAAAGAAAACAGCGACAATAGTTTCTTCGTCTCCTGCGACGTCATAATTAGCATTAGCAGCTAGACTAAATTACGACGTCATTGAACCAAACATGATTTCCAGACCTTTTCTGCTCTTGACGGTGGCGGGATCATCTTCGTCCATATTTCTTAAACTACTATTAGTACTTCAACCACGGTTTGGATCGAAGATTAAACGCCTTTCTGGCACGTATACCTAAAAAGTAAGAGCCGTTAGCTGCAAAACTCACGACGCGATGCACAGGCGTTTAGACGTTTTTGAACGGACCGCGTCGCCTCGCCCTGCTCTTCTCTGATTGGACAATTTTGAATTTGCCCAACGTCTGCTTATCGGCGGAAAATTGTAAACACAAACAATCAAATGTCCTTTTTACGACGAAAAAAAAACATTTATTATTTAAAATAACATTATGTCGAGCTTATTCAGTCTCATTCCCGCCAGTTATAATGAAAAGTGTAAAAATATAACAATAACGAATTAAAATGTTGCTTTAAGGTAGGTGGGAAGTTGGACTTTTCCGACCTCCGACCAGGAAAAGCAGCCCCTGAGAACTGAGCAGTCCGAGTTCCGAAATCCGGAAAAATGATTCCAATCAGCTGCATGACAGCAGCTCATGACATAATAATATGGGCGATACCTGTCACCAAGATTTATTCAGAAATTGACCCTCGATGGGCGTGAAATCCGCACTCCAGGACAAGAGGTGGCGGTAGTGCAATTTATATACTACATTTCAACCTGTAATAAATACAAAATGAAAACAAGAGGTTTGCATTGTCAACTCGAGTAGGAAAAACATTAAATAACGTTTGATGATTTGTTGTGGGGGACAATTGCTGTTGCCAAAAAAAAAGTTTTTTTAAGACGATGGCGTCGTATGACAAGTAAATTTGTCGAGCACAGATGGACAACGAACGACACCGGCGTCAACTGGATGCTGCTAAAACAGTGCGACACGTCCAAGGTCTGCACAGATGCTCCCCGATAATTTAACACATTTACCTCATCTGTTAGGCTCCTCAGAATAAAACCCATCTTCCGTCAGCTTTAATGATGTCTCTATCATCAAAAGCATTTGGTCTACAGTATATTTAAATGTGGGCGGCTACGGGTGAGTTGTTGGCTATTCACGATCACTCGAGGAATTACATTACAAAAGAAAAGACGATTATTTAAATTGTTAATGTAGGCGATATTATCGTCGACAACCATGTAGAACTGTTCTTACTAGCTGTCTTGGTGGCTCCAAAAACGTCTGCCCATTTTTGGAAACTTCTAAAAAAGGCAGAGACATTGTTTTTGTGTTTGTTCCCAAGACCTTTTAATCAGCAATTACATTTAGTACAACGCAACATAATATTTTGCTAATTAAAAAAAACTGCTTTTCAGTTCATGTTCACTGTCCATTAATTATTCATGGCTAATGGAAACAAAACAACTTGTCTGCCAGCATGACTTCAAGTTACAGTATTTGTTTGAGAAGCACCACTTGAGCTAGACTATATGTTTATGTTATTTATGTCCCGCAGACATCCAGCAGCTGAGTGGCTGTCAGGATGATCTCCCCCCTCAGTCTCAGTGGGCGAGCTCCCGTTTGGAACAGCCCCCCCACATTAAGGAAGAAGAAGGTGAGGAGGCTGATGTCAGGAAGTTGCCACTAACTGGTGTCTCTGTGAAGAGTGAAGACCAAGAGGAAGAAGAAGAGGATCCATATTCCATCCATATGAAAAAGGAAGACGAAGATCCAGAGTACTTCCACGTTGAGGGAGAGGAGCTGATGGATGTCAGCAAGTTGCCAGTGATTGTTGTCTCTGTGAAGAGTGACGATGACGAAGGCGAACCATCCGAGTGGTCACAGCTTCGCCATCGCAGTCCAAGTGCAGACCACTGTAGACGACCACCGCCAGCTAACCTTTTATCTCCACTGTCAGACAGCGACGAGATCGACGAACCTTTGAGGGGCGACGCTGACGGCGAAGGGGACGACAAGGAGTCAAAATTTGCAGAAAAGGAGACAGCTCCCAACAAGAAAACTTATCACAAACGCAGGAGATGTTATGCACATGAAAAACATTTAAGCTGCTCAATTTGCGGTAAAATATTTGCTCATAATAGACCCATGATAAGACACATGAGAACACACACAGGAGAAAAACCCTTTAGTTGCCCAACTTGTGGTAAGGCATTCTCTCTCAAGGAATATATGACATCCCACATGAAAAAACACACAGGTGAAACCCCCTTTCGTTGCACATTTTGCGGTAAAACATTCTCTCAGCAGAAAACTTTGCAATCGCACATGAGGACGCACACTGGAGAGAAACCCTTTCGTTGTTCATTGTGTGGTAAAAGATTCGCTCTTAAGCTCAACTTAGTCAAACACACGAGGACACACACGGGCGAAAAATCCTTTCTTTGCTCAACATGTGGTAAAACCTTCTCCGAAAGACATCGTCTGGTAGCACACTTGAGAACACACACGGGAGAAAAACCCTTCAGTTGCTCAACTTGTGGTAAGACCTTCTCTCAAAGGCATCATATGGTGTCACACATGAAAACACACACGGGGGAGAAACCTTTCCGTTGCGCAGTTTGCGGCACGGCATTCTCTCGGAAAGTCAATCTGGATATACACATGAGAACACACACGGGGGAAAAACCTTTTCGTTGTTTAAACTGTGGTAAAACTTTCTCCGTCAAAGCAACTATGGTCAAACACCTGAGAACGCACACAGGAGAAAAACCCTTTAGTTGCTCTGAGTGTGGAAAAAGATTCACTCAAAAGGTAAACATGGTAATACACATGCGATCGCACACAGGAGAGCGACCATTCAGTTGATCCGTGTATGGCACGGTCGACGTTCAGAGGACCAGCTTCATTGCACACATGCAGAAATGCAACAGAGCGAAAAAATGTTCAATTTTCTTGTATGAACAACGTCATCAGTGTCAAGGCCAGTTTCTCTTACTGATCTTCCAACAGTAGCCGACCACTAATCATTACTTTCCCATTGCCCCCCATGGAAATACAATGATCAATTCAGGTGCACTGTTTTTCATTCTTTTTAGCCCAGTTACAACCTTCTGTTACGAGCCCCCGTAAGTTAGTCTGTCCCTCAGGGGTCAGTCTTGGGGCCCATCCTTTTTGCATTCTTCATGCTTCACCTCAGAGACAACCTCAGCAAATTTGAAGCCATCTCATACTACTTGTATGCAGATGACCTCCGGATTTGCGTTTCCATTTGAGGTGAGAACTGCCTTTTCTGTAGAGATTCTCAAAAAGTAGTTGAAACGAAGACATTATGCATTATTAACAGAAGGCATTATGGATAATAAAATGAGCAGAGAAGGGAAAAAATACCCAGAATGTTAACCGATAACGCTTCAAGTGTTGGTCCTGTCTTCATTGAAGACTAGTGCAGGGGTGTCAAACGCAAAGCACACTTTAAGTCACAGGCCGAACAGGACAAACATTTATTAAACCAACTAAAAAAAAAGAATAAAAGTAGAAGTTCAAACTAAAAAAAACCCCTTAACTTTAGAGCGCTTTGCTCTGTCTGATATTTCGTCTTTGATTTTCATGATGGCCTGCAGACTTGCTCTTGTTACATGTGGTTGTGTTTAATTTATTTTTAGATTAAATTCAAAGCTGTGTGTCAAAGGCGCTGCGGAAAGATAACCTGTCTTGGTGCACGCATGGTACACACTCCAAATGTGAGACTCCATTGCACACTGCCTTATTTCTTGTGGTTCTTTGTGTTTATAATGAAAGAAAAATGTTCTTAACTCCTTCTTGATATATTTGTTTTGGGTTCTTGACGGGGTCATGTTTTCATTTACACAACTACGTATTTCAATGTATGTCAAGAATGGAAATGTATCATTTGAGGTTTTATATTTGTTGTTTTGGATGACAATTACAATTTGTTTTGACTATTACAGTATTGTCGCAAGTGTCCTCACGGCAATAAACTGACTCCGAGAAAAATAATTGGCCCTTTTAGAATTACGTTTGAGCCTCCTGACAGAAATCATTTCAGGCCAATAGATGGCAGCAGTGTAATAATACAGTTTGGAGATCGCCGAAAGAAGACGACAGCGAAGAAGAAAAAGACTACAATGACGAAGAAGAACCACAGATACAGAAAACGTAGATACGGTATGCAACTTTGAGTTGCGTGCATACAGGGCGGCCAAGCTAGTGGGGGCAAGGTGTCGAAATAATGATGCCTGCATATTTTGCTACATACGGTTGGCCACAAATATATCGATGTATGTTCATTTTCATAAACTATGTAAAATATTCCCTGGCCTCTGGAAATAAAGAGTAAAATAACTACAATGGATTGATGCATTATGCTTTGCTAGAAAGCCTTTTTCCATTTTTAGTTCGTATATTTTAAGTCAATTGTTCTGTAATTATAGTGCACGTTTCGACGTTGACAAAATAAAATTCATGAAATCAGTAGTGAAATTAATAAATGAATAGTTACTTTCAATGTACTGTATATGTATTGCCTTTGAAAGGAATGTTGCCACCTCCAAAATGTCCCCTACGTCGGCATATCGTTTCGCTGCTACAGCGCGCTAGTGTGTTTGTTCAGTTTAGTACGTGTATATCTGTGGCAGGGACGTTCACTGGTTTTGTAGGGGAAAGGTCATACCGAGTTGGGTGTCTGTGCACCCAACAGTACATTATTTGAAGCTTCCAGGAGAACATCTAGAACAAAAAGTGTGTCCGACAAGTTTGGACTTTTCATTTGTCATCATGGCACTGCTCAGAGGTAATTATGCTTAAAAAAAAATAAGTCAACGCCATGCGGATCGGCCGATCTGCATTTGGACAACAAATTCGTCAATGGCTTTGTTTGACATTTTATGTGTCCGTGTAATACAAACTGTCCAAAAATCAATGGAATTTACGACAAAATGAAGGGGTAGATATTGACGTATAGCAATACTTTGTGATGCATTTCAAATTCTCAAAGAATTAGGATCCCACCTGCACCCGCTTTGACAGAACTTTAAATTATTTTACATGTTCAATTATATATAGGTGTGAATATCATAATGAAATGGACAAATTAATCGGGGGCGGAGGGGTACACCGAAACGAGTAGTTATAGTCTGAGTGTGTGTGTGCAAGATTGGTATATGTATGCCTTTTATTTCATGAAACCATGACGTGGATAGTATGATCAATAATTACTTCTTGACTAAAAAGTATGTCACAATTTTTTCATACTGCTCAATGTTGATATATTTTTATAATTATTATTTTTTAAATATTGGAAAATAGCTACCTGGAGACCAAAATTCTGAATTTAGCCAATTTTATTTTAACATCACTGCTGTTTGCTTCCTAGGGGTATTCATTGTGGCTGCCAAGCGCACGCCATTCGGTACTTACGGCGGCGTCCTGAAGGAGCACAGTGCAACAGACCTGGCCGAGCACGCGGCCAAGGCTGCCCTGGGTGCAGGAAATGTGGCACCCGAGCTCATAGATAGTGTCATCATCGGGAACGTCATGCAGGTGTTGCACTGCTCCACATGAGAACCACATTAAATTATGCACATGTTGCATATCGTTGGCCACATAGGATCATTTTGTTTACATTTTTTTATTGATATTGTAACAAAAACTTCAGCCAGATGCATGAACACTTAAGGAATATGATACAATAAAAAAATACCAATGTGTATTTTAAAAATTGTTTTTTTTATTGTTTTTCAAACATATTGAAAAATGACTGAGCTATGTGGCCGATGATACGTTTTTGTTTCAATTCCTTCTAGAGTTCAGCGGACGCTCCCTACATCGCACGCCACGTTGGTCTGAGGTGCGGAGTTCCCATCCCAGTCCCCGCTCTCACTGTCAATAGGCTGTGTGGATCTGGTTTCCAGTCCATCATCAATGGCGCTCAGGTAAGAGCGACCCAGAGAACACACATGTTAGGCTGAAGAAAATGACTCAGCAGTGTTTTTGTTTATTAAGACTCTTTGGATACTGCATCAGGCACAGGAACACAATCGAATGAGGGTGAATGCAAAATCTGTATACCCACTGTGACTTTACAAAAATATACATAATGCTGTATAGGAGGACAGACTACAGTCAAGTTATATATTTTCCAAGCCCCAAATTAAGCCTCTCGAAAATGTGACTATGACATGAGTAGCGACAAAAATTACTTTGATAAAATGTGTATTTTATTTTATTTGACATACTGAATTGATTGAATTGTTACCGATATTCTAAAATGCACCTGGATAGGCTGTTGTAAAAATAAGACTAAAAGAAATAATTTCAAACTTTTTCCATCAGAAATGTGGCCTAAAACCTGCCCAACTCATGTTTTTTTTCTTCTTGAGAGTGGATGTAAAAATAAACAACTGAAATAATGTGGTTGCACAAATGTGCATATCCTCATAATGTGGATGTCCTGTAGCTAAGTACTTTATATACATTTAAAAGACACGCACTTTCTTCTCCACTCAGAGAAAAAAAAAAACATTGTTGTGCCATGTGTGTTTTCAGGAGATTTGTGTGAAGGACTCTGAGGTGGTATTGTGCGGTGGTTCCGAGAGCATGAGCCAGGCTCCATATGCCGTACGCAATATCCGATTCGGTACAAAATTTGGATTTGATCTCAAGGTTTGTTTTCTCTTTCTATTACACTTCACGTAGAACAAAACAACTTTTTTTTTTAATTAAATAAAGCCTCCCTCTGCCTTGATTGACAGCTGGAGGACACCTTGTGGGCGGGGTTGACTGATCTACACGTAAAAATCCCAATGGGCATCACAGCAGAAAACCTGGCGGAGAAGTACAAGGTTACACGAGAGGATTGCGACAACTACGCGTACCAGACGCAGCAGAGGTGGAAAGCAGGTCAGAGAAATCTGCAGACTGCCACTTCACACACACGCACGCAATGTATATTTTGTATAAAATAGTTCAAAGACTCACCAAATGAAACCGAGAAGAGTGGAAACATTCCTTTTTTCTTATAGCATTGCAATTTTTTTATCGAAAGAATACTGTTTGCTCAACTAATAATATCATGACTTTTTTCACGGACGAACAACTGTCCCTGTAACATTTTTACGTGCTAAACATGTAACAGCACAACTTATTTGGTCACAATTTAATCTTCCTGTTCCGTGTAACCCTAATACTCTTTTGTTGTGAAGTATATTGTTTATATTAAAATGTTTGTTTTTTTTCCACAGCTCATGAGGCTGGCCACTTCAATGCTGAAATCGCTCCGATTGATGTGAAAGCAAAGAAAGGCAACGTGTCCATGGCTCAGGATGAACACCCTCGTCCTCAGACCACAATGGAACAGATGGCCAAACTGCCTACAGTTTTCAAGAAGGGAGGCACTGTTACTGCTGCTAATGCTTCAGTGAGTCCTCGCCACTATCTTGACTCTACCAATCTGATGTTTCAGACCATTTTCATACATCCAAACCGTTGATGTTCAACTAGCCATTGCGCTTCACCAATGCTGAGGCAAAAAAGCGGCCGTTTTAATGCGGAATTCTCTTTGCTTTATGTGCACGACGGTAATACGCCATCAACGAGGTGAGAAGGTCAACTTTCACGATCTGCTGCTCCTTAGGGTGTGTCAGACGGCGCTGCCGCAGTGGTGATTGCCAGCGAGGATGCGCTCGGTCAACACAAGCTCACTCCACTGGCCAGAATTGTGGCCTATCATGTGTCGGGCTGTGACCCGAGCATCATGGGAATTGGTGAGTGGCGTTCATGTGAACAGTACAGTGAAGCGTTTAGTTTGAAATGAAATGAAAGAAGTCAGTGAAGTTGTTTCAATTGCGCAGGCCCAGTTCCAGCCATCACCGAAGCTCTCAAAAAAGCAGGACTGTCACTCAGTGACATGGACCTGGTTGAGGTCAGTCGAAGTCAGTTCATCCATTATTTATATAGCTTATACCAGGGGTGTGAAACTCATTTTTGTCGTGGGCCACATTTTAGTTACTGTTTCCCTTTGAGGGCCGTTATTACTGAAACCAAATTAAAAAATCAAGAATAAAGGTTTATTCAACTATTGTTTAAGTTACTGTAATGAGGGGTTTGATTACAAGAAAATGCTTCCAATATGTCTCTTATTTATTACATACGAGAATTTTACATTTCGGTAGAGATTTTAGCAAGCATCATGGAAGTTGACACGTTTGATTTGCCTATTGTGGGCCACATAAAATAATGTGGCGGGCCAGATTTGCCCCCCCCGGCCTTGAGTTTGACACCTGTGGCTTATGCTTATGTTCCCATGCTTTTGTTAAACTACCATAAGTATCAATAATTACATTGTTTTGTCTAACTAAAACAGGCCGCTTTGAAAGGCACAAGTGTTAGCTTGTTGTTAGTTCTTGCTTCGTTGAGTGAAAACGCAAGCTAACGGTGATAGCGGTCTTTTTATCGCTTGACAAAGGAGGGTCTCGCACTGGACGCTATTTAAAAGCGGAATTCTGGTTGATGTTTTAAACAGGTGAATGAGGCCTTTGCTCCCCAGTACTTGGCTGTATCCAAGGCTCTCGGACTAGATCCAGAAAAAAGCAACGTTAACGGCGGCGCTATTGCCATCGGACATCCTCTCGGAGCTTCAGGGGCTCGCATCACCGCTCACCTGGTTCATGAACTCAGGTAGCGTGGTCATGGCAATATGCGATATCATCAGGAGTTATTTAATCTGGCTTTGAATGATTTATTTGTTTTTGGGGGCAGGCGACGAGGCGGAAAGTACGCCGTCGGATCAGCTTGCATTGGAGGCGGTCAAGGAATCGCCATCGTCCTTGAAAAGTGCTGAATGTGCTGTCAAACCGTGAAGAAGAAGAATGCCATTAATGTTGAATCACATGATCACATTCAGACAAATGCTGCTTACATACACACCACATTGCATTTTGATTCATAAGCAGGAAGGACCGATTCCTGGTTTATTCTGAGACTTAGGCCTACTGTCCAGTACAATATGATTTACAGTCGAATTGTGGTTTCCTCTTAACCATTTGCAACATCGCTCTATTTACAAAAAATAATGTAGATACATGTTGCAGTCCGGTGTTGCCTTACTTTAAGTTAATGACATAACTGTATTAGTATTACAACCTAATGGATGATTTGTGTCGCTTTTACCTCAGGGTATATTAAAATGCATAAATGGTATGTATAGTATACATTTGCCTTGTATTTTGATCACTCCGCCACAGATCAGCTGTACTTTACACTTCATATATTTTGTATTTCTGCGCTAGTTGATCTGAATAAAAATACATTTTGGGAAGAATCTTTCAGTGGTTTATCCCAATTCAAAAGCTCAGTATATTAAAATCATAAACTGGTTAAAACAATTGTTTATTTACACAAGGTGAAATGTCCATCCATCCGTCCATCCATCCATTTTTATAGACTTGCCCACAGTAGAGTAGCGGGGAAAGGTGCCAGCTGACCCACTACCCTGTTGAGGACAAGCACTAGAAATGTCATTTATTTATATAACCCTTGAAGCACAAATTAAGCACAAAAGGAAGGGGGAAAATGAACAACAGTTGTACTTGATCAGATCTCGTTTTACATGGATTTGTGTATGAGACAACACTATGTTTATACATTATGAATTTGGGTATTAAAATTGTAGAAATTTCAATTCATCCGATCGTTATTTATTTCAATTATCACATAGACTTATTAAGTTAGTATTTTCAACCATCCATTTTTTAATCTGTTTCTCCTCATGAGGGTCGCAGGTTTGCAGGAGCCCATCCCAGCTGTCTCCGGGCAGTAGGCGGGGGACACCTGAACTGGTTGCCAGCCAATCGCAGGGCACACATCGACTAATGATTCTTCACACTCGCAATGACTCCTAGGTACAATTTAGAGTGCTCAATTAACCTGCGGTGCATGTTTTTGGAATGCGGGAGAAAACCCACGCAGGCACGGGGAGAGCATGCAAACGCCACCCAGGAAGGCCGGAATAAAACCCTGCAACTCTGCACTGTGAAGCCGACATCATAACCAGTCGCCCAGGATGCTGCCTAATCTACATATTAAGTAATATAATTTATCCCATGAGAGTTACAGGTAAAATCAAAAGGACAGAAAATACAGAGATCAATACACATTCATATGTGATATCTTGAATATATTGATAGCAATTCTGTGTTTAAAAAACATTTCAAGAATTCATATAAACCCATTTAATCCCCAATTTTCCCAGACACTTCAAAGTCAAAATCAGGTGTCATTGGTAGCCCTTTTAAGTCATCAGTAATAAAAAAAATGTAGAGCCCTGTACATTAAATCATCGTTGTCCTTCAAAAATGTGACCGGTGGGATTAAATGGGTTAAAAACAACTATGAATGTTGATCTAAAAATAATAACACGTATTAGGAATTCAAATTCAAACGTTGATGACACAATTATGCGGTCCACTTTTCCTGAACAATGTTTAATCGTCTCAATTTCGAGGTGAAACTACAAGGACCAGAACACGCTCCGATTACGTCATCACGCTGCGTCCTTATATGCGTCACTTCCCGGATGACGTTCTTTTCTTTTTAGCCAAGGTAAGGTTTTCATGTATTCGTGTGTCTGTATGAATTAAATCCACCTTAATCCACGTTACTGAAGCAATGGTATGCTCTTAAATACGACAAAATGAATCTAATTGTTTAGACAGTGTGCCCTATGTTAGTATTACATATTCACACGCCACGATGATGAGAATATACCGCTTGATGTATCGGTCGTCAGAGGCCGCTGACTCGAGCTAATGTCGGCTAAATGCCACTGGCTAACAGAAACGTGTTTGCTGTGCCTGGTGTCGTTCAGTCTGTGGTTGTGCATCTATATATGTGTGTGTCACCCTGTTGAACAATTCTAATAGAGCCCTTGTGGCATTTCAAGTAGCTTCTCTGAGGGTTGCTTAGAAAGTTTCAAGCTAGCGCAACTTGCTCATTGGCGTGGCTTGTCCAAGTTGTCATTTCTTGAGTGGGAACATTATATTCATTTAGCTATCAGACATGCCTGTGAGGCGTTGTACAAATAATATCGGTGGACTTATTGTTTTAGAAAAGACGTTTAGGCTGTGACCTCGGCCATTTGCTCATAACGTTTTTTGTATGTTTAGTTTTGGATCGAGATTTGATTGAGAAACGTCTGCTTCAATAGTTTTCTGTTACTGGTCGCGAGATTTGGCAACCCTATTCTATTCGGATCACGCTTTTAAACTGAAAGGAGAGTGACGAAATATTCTAATGCACATTAATGGGCCTGAGATGCATAACTTGAGTCAGGTATGAGCATAGGTACCACAGTTTGGCCAAGTTGTGCAAATGTTACCTGACTGCCCCGGAGGCAAGCACCTAACCAGCCATGCCACGGTGACTGACTCGTCAACATCGATTACATTTTCACCACATTAATGCCGACCTAAATAAATCCAGTAATTGTGCAGTTACTAATGCCTGGTTTCATTTGTATTTTCTTTGTGAAGACTGCGGAGTCAGTGAATTTTCCTTGTGGATGAAACCAGTTTCTAAACAGCATTTGAAATTAGTATTCCATGGACAAGTATATGTTGACTGTGATGCACTTTGATGACAAGTGTGTGTTACTGTGTCAGATGGCAGAGGGAGACGCAAAGCCAGTAAAGAAGGAGCGCAAGAGCCGTAACCCGGTTTTGGCCCGGGGCATCGGCCGTTACTCCCGCTCGGCTATGTACTCTCGTCGTGCTATGTACAAGAGGAAGACCAAGACCACTGAGACAAAGGTGCGGGGCACTCGCCAATATAAATCCAGGTTGCCGAATGATGTCGAACGAATTACAATATGACCCTGTCATGCTACCAGGTGGAGAAGAAGCTGAAAGTCAGGCCCCGAGCCACAGTTGTCAAGACTGTTGGCGGTGATAAGAATGGAGGCACCCGTGTTGTCAAGCTGCGCAAGATGGTACGTACACACTGTTAAAACGTTACCTGTACTTAAAAAAAAAAAGTCTGTCAAGAAAAAGCAAGCTTGAGGGGAACAATTATTGTATTTTCACCCATAAGACAAAGATTAACTTTTTGAGACAAGAGTAAATGCCACATATCCTTCCTGCTGCATTTGTGACATTGGCTAACACCCCCCACCCCGTGTTGGCGCAGCCCCGATACTACCCCACAGAGGACGTCCCCCGCAAATTGAAAAGCCACGGCAAGAAGCCTTTCTGCCAGCACAGGAGGCGGCTGCGCTCCTCCATCACACCGGGCACAGTCCTCATCCTGCTCACCGGTCGCCACCGTGGGAAGGTAGGTCTTTATTAGGTATGATAGACAACTACGATGAAATTTTCAGTTGCCAGTTTTGAACCTCCTATTTCCTCTTGATCCTCATTTCTTGTAGCGTGTGGTCTTCCTGAAGCAGCTCGCAAGCGGTCTTCTGCTTGTCACTGGTATGTGTTTGCAGCATCAATTTAAAAATATAAGTACAGCTGTTAATCCCCTCGGCTTTTTTTTAAGGCCCCCTCGTCTTGAACAGAGTCCCCCTGCGCAGGGCTCATCAGAAGTTTGTCATTGCCACCACCACCAAAGTGGACATCACCGAGATGAAAATCCCTAAAACGCTCAATGATGTTTACTTCAAGAAGAAGAAGCTGAAGAGACCCCGTCACCAGGAGGGGGAGATCTTTGACACTGAGAAGGAGGTAAATAAATTCTGACCTGGTCGAATTTGTCCCAACAATTTGAGCAGATTGCTAATTACACCCCCTCGTGCATGTGTGTAGAAGTACCAGCTGACAGAGCAGAGGAAGGAGGACCAGAAAGCTGTGGACTCTCAGCTTCTGCCACTTATCAAGAAAGTTCCCCAGCTCAAAGGATACCTGCGTGGTACCTTCTGCTTGTCTAACGGCGTGTTTCCCCACAAGCTGGTTTTCTAAGCGTGTTAATAAAAGTGAATCTTGCGGCCACTTGGTCTGGACATTTTATTTTACAGTCTAAATCATGAACTGATTAATAAGTTATAAGTACACACTAATGAACAGGCACTGAATGCAGAACACAAAATGTTCATTAAAAAAGACGTAATGTAACAGACAAAAATAAATATTTATTTTTAGATGGCCACATTATTTTAATCCTCAGAACAAAAATAGAAAGCACAAAAAAGGCAGCGTCCCCACCCCCGCCTCGGAATGGATGCCTTTGTCGAGTCAGTAATGTGTTGTAGTTGTAAGTGTGTTTCGAAGTGTGCGTGCGCTCTTCTTAACCAGATTTGAAGAGCAGGATGGCCACCTGGCCCAAGTAGAAGTAGATGAAATGTTTGGTCTCGTGAGTCACGTAGCTGCCAAAGTTCCTTCCCACGATGCAGTGCCAGGTCGGGTTGTATTTCTTGTCAAACTCCTAAGAAGAACACAGAGTTAAAAGCCCACCCTGTGTACTTTAATCTTTGCATAAGTTTTGATTAAATGTGTGCACTATGAGTGGGTGCACATTGCTGTGAAACAAAGAGCGTGGCTACTTTACAATTTTACAAAGAACCCGTGACTTATGGTGTATAGGAACAAAGGCAGTATTTTTGGGACTTCATTAATCCTTTAAAGTTGATAGACATCCCTTATTGAGATGACAGTCCTTGCATTATGCCGGTTCGCTGAAATTTAATTGTATTATGCATGATGAATCAAGTTTATTACATAATGTTAAGTACAATGTGTCCCTCAGTAAATGACATCATTCAATAGCTTGATACCCAATTCTCAATCAACTTATGAAAACCAGTTCGTTTTACTCAGATATCACAGTAAACTAAAATTCTGACAAGATGAAATCAATTACTTTGAATTTTTTTTAATCAATTGGATGAATGTGTATTTGAATTGAGGGTTAAACACGTTAGGCTCATGCCAACCTGTCATTTAACATTTTTGTATTACCTTGGACATGTGTAGTATAAGCCAAATCAAATGAAGCCACACTGAATTTCAATACGCCTTAGACATGTAATCAAATATTTCCATTCAGACGATTTGTTCGTTTGTACGTGTAAGAATAACCTAATCAGACCCAAAGGCCTTGGGCAAGTTGTGTACAGCAATTTGCAGGGCTCAAAGGGGCATTTTTGGGGGGGAGATTCAGGAATGGAGCCAAATTGCGTCTTGGCCATGGTTTTGCACCTTCTTGATGTAGGCAGCGATGTCCTTCTCGATGTTGTACTTTTCCAGGGCCTGGGTGGCACACTCCACGGCGTCCTGCTGCATGTCCTCGGACATGTCAGCATTCTTTATTACAGCTTTCCTGTCTGCCATGGTCGCCCTGGGAGACGACAACAACAAAACAATATATTTATTACGTGTTACTTCATTGTGATATTACCGACCAATTTGTCGTTACATAAGGACTACAGTAGTAGACTCGGCACTGGGATATTTGGACGTGCTATTTCCATTGGGATTGCATAACTTCCACCATTGGCGGTGTGAGTGGATGCGCGCGCTCAGTTGTTTCTATGGAGACGCGCGAGCAATATTTAACATTTTTCTAATCGCGCAAATCAACAAAACAAAAACAATTGACGTAGCCGACCTTGTTGACGCCGAAGGGACGTTCATGCATCAAATGCACCGACGCCAACCAAAGCAGCATGTAGTGGCAACACGAGCAAATGGTATGGAATATATACATTTAAAGCTATATTTGAACGAAAAAGCTAGCATCACATGGCTACGTGCCTTAAGCTATAATGGACGAGCTGTTGATTGTACCGCGATATCAAGCTGTGCATTCGTCCCGATACTAAACAGATTTTTTAAAAAGCACACTGCCTTAAAATGCATAATTCTTCTAAATAATCGCGGTTAATTTTCTTAAATTCACCTACTAGTCTGTTATTTTGGTGCTTGATTAGGTCTACACCGAGAAGCAGTCCAGTAGCGTCCAACTCATTCGAAGCGGTGCACGCGAGAGTCAAGGTGGGTGTGTAGCGCTCGGGCGCTGAGGCTACGTCGCGCTGATTGGCTGATGTCACCGCAAGAGGCGCCGCGATTGGCTCACAGCGGGCCGTCTCTCTGGTTTTTCTCCCTGCATTTTATTTCAGACCGTCATGCCTTGCGGCCCATCGTTGCCTAGGAAACCACTGGCAAGTCTTGGACGACAACCGTTGTAATACGAATATAATTTCTACGCGACATTAAGATTTTTGATTCAATATTTGATTTTTTTAATGCTTAATTCATCAGCTTCTAACCAACGCAGGTGTCCATAAGGAATGTAAGTGGAGGAACAGTAGACACAAAAATACTCCACACTTTTGTTCAAACGCCAGGTTTTGTGGCATAAATTAACGACTTAACCCGAAATCATTTTGTAGTCACTTGAAAAAAAAATAGTGAAAACTCTTCAAAAATACAAAGCCTCACCAATCTAAAAGAAATTACTCAGGAAAAAAAACAATCCGAAGCGAATGCAATACTCTCCTGTAAGAAAAAAAGAGGGAAAAGAAAAAAGAAAAATCGGATATATTCCAATGAATTTGCACAGGGTGAATTTATCAATCACATTCAACTCCAATGTGTTCTAGTAGGACTTTCCTGACTTTTTTTGTAGTCCAAGAGGCCAACAGCAACCTTGAAGGACATTTATAGCTAATGCTGGTCTCGCTGTTAAAGTACACATGATCTTATTGATATGTCTGTGCTATGACGTAAAGTTATTATTAAATTGCACAAAATATTGTACAAAGAAAATCACCCAAGCCCGGCTCCATTTTGCAAAAACATACTTGAAATCTCCCGAATGCACGTAAGAAAATGTATTTTTGTCCCATGACACCAACTTAGAACAATTGAATTTTATTTGGGGCTAATCAAAGGCATTTTAAATAGTGGCAGCTGTGTTTCCCCCCCCCCCCAATAACATGCCGTTTGGGTCTCAAACTCCGGTCCAAGAGGGCCATTTTCACCTATGTTTTCCATCTCTCCCTGCTGCAACACACCTGATTCAAATGATCATGATCATTAACAGGCTCCTGCAGGGCTTGTTGATGAGGTGATCATTTGAATCAGGTGTGTTGCAGCAGGGAGAGATTGAAACATTCAAGAATGCAGCCCTCAAGGACCGGCGTTTGAGACCCCCGAACATGAGTTTGAATGTGATCACGCACATTTGTGCAACTACGTTCTCTGTTTAGTTTTACTAAATATTGTATTTTCCAATGGCGTTGTACAGGTAATAGGTCACATTAAAGGTGGAAAAAAGTTTTGAAATGATTTATGTTGTTTTTAAATTCACAAAAAGCTTACAGTTGAACAGGGGTATGTAGACTTTACAGCCATTGTGTGGGGAATTTACATTACCGGTACATATTCTCATATATAGAGTATGTAGATATACCAGTACTATTATAAGTACAGCCAAGGACATATTTTTTTCTAAAAGTCTTTATTTTTTTTTAGCCATTCAAGACTCTCCTGAATTTAGAATTGTTGCTCAGAAGAAAATGATACTGCAGCATTTCACTGACAGTGAACTACAGTAGTTACCGATATTTATAACTGCCCTGAAAATATAATACAAATGTGACCACTAGTACAGCAGCCATAAACAAATGCTTGTCTTCATATTTTTACCATAATAGCAACCCCCCCGCCCCCACACACACACATATTTAAGAACTGCACTGGCATGTTCTATTAAATACAAATCTAAAGCTATCCATTGCATGTGCCAATGCAGATAAACCTGATGACAGAGAGTGGATTGCCAATACACAGAAAATGTGATTCGGATTGGAGGAGTTGATCTTTGTCGAGAGGACACCACTAAATAAACTTCACCTCTGCATGCTGGTTGATGTGTCCCCAAAGCCACATTTTCAATACTTAAAAGTCGTCTTTGTCTTTATTCACTGCGATCCTTCGGCTCCTTGTATTTGTACTGGATGTAATCAAAGATATCCTTTTCACTATCCACCAGCAGAGGCTCCCCTGCTACACCTACAACAAAGCCACAAAGAGGAACGATTGTTAGTTAAATGGTAAAGATCACACAACCCCGACACGAACAATCGTTCCAACGGTTTACTTTAGAGTACTGAAAAGTAGATCACGGTTTGGGGGGAAAAAAAAAAAAGCATTTGATTGCCTCTCTTGGTGTTGATGTTTAGAGGCAAGATGACACAGCAGAAATGTGACCAGCTGGATTTAAAAGCAGGAATTTTGTCCATCGCAGATAAAAATGGAGGGAAAAGTCCAGTGTTTGATATGTAGGAAAGTGTGCAGATTTATATGCAGAGGCCCTTGAGATACAAGTGAGCTGTCTTGAGCTCTTACGGATTTTTTTATTCTCTATGTCTGTATTACACAGCCCCCAATATGGAGCAGCACAATGTCTATTGAATTGAAACAAAACAAAAAAAAAAGTGTCAACAAATGTTTACTTATTTGCAACCATATAAATATGTCATTCACTCAGTTTTTTTGTTTTGTTTTACAAAGTAAAATGTAGAATTACATTTTAATTATGTTTTTCATGCGATCATTTGTAAAGAACACTTCACAACACATTTTGGTGTTTTGGGGAACTGGATTAAATTTTTTCAATGGTTCAAATTTGGCATGGCATTGGTATTTTTATAGGTCCCACATAGTGTAAAAAAAGTAAACTGCTGCGAACGACTGAAGCAAACAAAGGGTATGAAAGCAGCCCAGTGATGACTCACCAGTGACCCCAAGTGGTCGTATGGTGTACTCATTGAGCGTGAAGCCCTTCTCCAAAGCGTGAGTTCTCATGTTTTTATTGAAGATATCACTCCCAGTGAAATAGAGAACGCCACAGTAGTATTGGTCCTTGGGGATCAACCTTGAGGTAGTGGGAAGACAACCGTGTTAACCAAATAAAAAATGCCTACAATCAAAACATGCACAGGGAGGAATATAAATCCAAGTAGCACCTGATATCAATGCGCCTGTGAAGGTATTCTTCCTCATCTTCATCTCCTTGTTGCAGCTGACAGACTCCCTGGAGAAAACAGGGCTGTCATCATGTGCTTCATGTGTACACGGACACATACGCGTTGACGCTGCTAACCGCATGAGCAGTCACACTGAACACGTGAAAGGAGCGCAAGCAGGGGGTCTCACCATGAACTTGGAGTCGCCTTTAGAGAGAGTGTCGGTCACAAAGCCAATCGACTCCAAATGTTCCACTACAGCGTGGAGGAGCTTTGGCTGAACAGTCAGTTTAAAAAGAAAGGTTACGTTTAACAACAGGGCAACACACTGCATTGCATTTGGGTAACAGGCTTACTTGCTTCTCAGTCTGAGAGGTGAAGTCCGGGTGGGTCAGCAAAATATCAATATCCCCGCTTGATGCCGCGCCTGAAAATTTCAAGTGAGGGGGCTCATTCGCCGCAAAGACTCAACAGCGTAGTCAAGTGAGAAAACCACAGGGACAGTTTTACCTCGCCTGTAACTTCCGCAGATCGTTCCGATATAGTCAGTGTCAATCTTTGTCAACTCCCCAAGGATAAGTGTCTGCACGAGAGCAATTTTAGATCATTTGTTGTTGTCTCCTGAGAACAACTGATTATTCCCCCAAAAATTCCACCTCATTTTGTTGTCCGTGAACATAGTCCACTCTCACTCAAAACATCGCCCAAAATCAGCATGGTATGTAAAAACATTGTGGATGTGCTTATTGCCTGTTGACATCGTTACCATTTGTTAAATAAAACAATTGAATGGGCAGCAGTGACTGTGGCTATCCTTGTCCGCTTGTAGGGACAATTTCAGTATGTTTGTACGAGTGGTGGTAGCCTCGATTGAAATTAGCCAAGTTGGCGATCGAAAATGTGCTGATATGGTTCATTACTGTACTTGGTTCGACATACAAAAAGAAGATAAAATACAGTAAGTGTGAAATATATAAGTTTGCATTTAATACAGTATTTGTATTTTTTTTCCTGGGCAAAGAATGGCATTGACTAGCAATTGAAATGCATTAATTGCATTTTAATGCATTGACAAATTTAGAATACTGCACGTTATGCTCAGGCAGTCAAGTGTGCATTGTGCTTTTCAGGATATTTAAAAATAAATAAATACGACAACTGAAAAGCACTTTAAAATTTCAAAAGCTTTGTGAAATCGATCCATTTGATTGTGTTGTTGGAATTTTGATGAATAAATCTTTCTAACATGGACACTATTTGATTTTAGGACATGTAGTTATTCAGATAATCATATTTCAAATTATTTTTGGGGGATGTATTTTCTGCAGGTAATCCGGTTTCCTCCCACATTCCAAAAATATGCACGGTAGGTTAATCATCTTTAGGTGTGACTGGTTGGTTATCTGTACTCCGCCGACTGCCCCAAAACAGCTGAGGTTGGCTCCGTCACGCCCGCAACCATCGTGAGGATAAAGCAGTTCGGATAATGGATGGATGGAACGAGCTCTTAAGAAAAATAACCAAAAAAAAAAAAATCACCTCCATCTTTTCCATTTCAGCTCGTGGAATCCTTTTCTCAAAGTCCTCAAAGTACCTGAATAGGGTAAAATGATCCACTTATCAACACAAGAGTTTTGTATTGAAGGCTTGATATATCAGCAAAACTCACTTGAGGCCAATCTGTTGATGATGGTTAAGCTTGTTTTCTATCTTTTTCAAATCTGAATACACAAAATGAAAAGAAAATGAACACACATCCAAAATGAATCCCACAGCTTGACATCGAACAAGTTACGCGCTCGACAAACCTTCAAGAGTCTTCACGCCTTCTTCGAAAAACTTCCGTGCGGCAGCCGGGCTAAAGTGAACACCAAAGAAAAGAACTTGGTTACTATTTTATAGCTTTCATTCCGTTTAGGAATCGTGAGTGAGCTGGAATCTATGCCAGCTGGCTTTGGCAAACACAGTCGATATAAAGACAGACAACCATTCACACACGCCTACAAACTATTTGGAGTGCTGAAATATTTAGCAACACTCATTTCTTTGGTCAACTGTGATTGTAAATTTGTATGAGCTTGTATTTGTCATTATAGACTCATACCCAATTCCAGTTACTCTTGTAAGAAAATTGATAGAAGAACTGGTGTCGTCGTTTCGAATCTGAAGAGAAACGAGAATAAAGGTTGAGTTACTGAAGTTTGTGATATTATTGAGCCATCACCGTATGAAATGTGCTTTCCATGACCTCACCTTTTCCAGTTTCCGTAGGGTTCCTGTCTGCAAGTACTCATCAATCTTTTCAGCTATTTTAGCACCAACGCCTTCCTGTATATACATTTATGGCAATATGAAAACAATAGCGGAGAGCACACTCGTGACATAGCCATTAGATTTCCACATTTTGCTATGTTACAGCATTTTCCCAAAACACACAACACATAAAACCACAGAAAGATATTGTCAACTTTTAATTTTTTTAAATTTCAGCCAGTTTCTGAAGAATAAAAACTAAGACATAACATGATGTACGTAAATATTCACAGCCTTTGGTCAGTACTTTCCTGATGGTATTTTTCTAGTAAAAGGAGAGATTCTTTTCTTTCATTTGGTAGATTTGGGACAAAAAAATCATTGAGCAGACTATCCTGTGAGTCTTGGAAAAGTCAAAATTCTCTTCATTGGCTGGCAGTGAATCAGTTTTAAACTCCACTATTTCTGCAAATGATACCACAACCCTTTTTAGTGCACGCACGTACCAGTTTCTTGGCTTCTTCGCCATTCCTAATCTTTTGCGGGTATTTGGCAATTGTTGACGCTGCTTTCCTGAACATAAAAGAAACATCAATAAAATCGTCACGGCACACTAATAGAACCCACAAAAATAAATCCTCCGTTCGTAAATACATGCGGTGCTTTAATTATATGATAAAAAGGTTCATTGTGATGATAGATCGCAACAAAAGACAAGGACTTGGATAATGACCATATTCAGATTGCATGGGAAATCATGCAAATCAGGAAACAGCCATTTACTTCTTAAGTCTTGACAATTATAATTACCTGTAAGCATTGTACTTGTGAATTGCCCTGTTAACGTTCTTCTCGTAGTTGGCCAACTCTAGAAACACAAGAAAAAAATATTTTATTGCCCTTTAGCGACTACAGTATCGTGTCCCTTTAACAGACGGTAGCCTGCAGACTGGGGGTGTTTAAATCGTGTTTCGACGGTAACTAGATCAGTTTACAATTTAATTTTGTCCATCATACACACACAACACGGCTTCCAAAGGACAATCTTCGCGGAGCTTTTGCAGTTTAGCTCACTGTATGCAAACGTTCTTTTATTCCCGTAACACACACACAGATGTCAGTGTAGCTAACGTTAGCACAACTCAGTGGTTAGCGCCCCCCAACATACCGACAAGAAAGTCTGTTATTCCCTCGTTTAAAGATTCTTGTGGTGCTTTTCTCTTGCTCATGGCGGAGTCGTCAAATTTCCAAACGTCCGGTTAAAATACTAACGAGTTCAGACGCGCGTAGAAAACATTGAAAGTCTTTGTAGAGCGCTAGTTTCTGACTAGCATAAAAGCTATGTGGACAATGAGAATGAAATACTCGGGAGCGGGGGGACACGTAGTGAGGGCGGAAATTACGTATGATGTTGACTAGCTACGTACAGTAGTACAGTATCAGGACAGACAAGTTTCGGTTTTTGAATAGTTTTGATTGTTATCATTAAAAAAAATCAATTTCTTCGACTTTGAAATCGCTGTTTATTTTTTTGTGCTTTTTACAGTCAGTAAAAACAGGTTCGTATCATTGAAACAATTCATTAAAGAAAAGAAACGTTCAAAGGTAAAATAACACTTTTTCAATGGGGGAACCTTTCATGAACATGAGCTCTCTCAGCCAACATAAGAGTACACACTATCATTTAATCTACGAAACGTTTGTTAGAAAAATAGGTATTATATACAAAATGTTTCAAATAAGTTTAGCAACAAAATGTTGTTCCAAGTATTTTGTATTTAGTTTCATCTGAATCAAATGGAATTACAATTCTCAACACAATGGGCTGAAATATTAATGTTGTGCTACAAGGTCGATTATATCAACATTTCAGGATTGAATTGACCATCATATCTTTGTGAAAAGTAGCAGTATATAGCTGTACACACACACACACACACACACACACACACACACACACACACACACACACACACACACACACACACACACAGTACAGTCATTTTTTAAATAGTTGAGTGCATTTTTCTCCTAAACAGAATCATACAATCCGGTAGAAATGTGGATTTTTTTTTTTTGTCATTCCGTAGCTGGTATGATTTGCCACCTTTCAGGATAAAAAAAACATAACTTTTTAAACACTATCATTATACAAAAGGTCACATGATACAGTACAATGTTGCATTATTTAACACCCAAGTCACAATCAACTCTTAAAAATTTTAGCAGGTGGATGTCCCATCCCGTCCTCTTTAGGGGTTAGGAATTTGTTTTGACATAAACTTTATCCCTGGAAAAGATTTTGATGGCTTCCTCGATCTCAGAAAGTCTTCTATCAAGGTGAGCGCGCCGCAAACGAACACTCAGATTGTCTGCTTTGAGAGGAAGCAACAGCAGCTCCGTCACCAATGAGCGATGGCCTGTGAAGAGAAAATCAGTTTTCAAAAGACAAACTATCCAGTGAACTACTGTTTATCACGGGGGAATTAGTTCCAGACGAAGCCACAATCGGTGAAAATCCACAAAATAAAGAAAATGTTTCATCAGTTGTGCGATCCTTCACACACACTTGAAACACATTTAAATTGATTAAAACACACTGAAACCTATAGAATAAAAACATACTCTCTTTGAGGGTCTTCAGAGTTTCCTGCCTGTCACTGTCAGCCATTAAGGTGTGACCAGGAGGAACAGATGGAATAAGTTTCTTCTTCCTTGCCTCCTCCTCCTCTTTACGCCATTGCTTCTTCCTCTCTTCTATGCTGTGTCAAACAAAACCGTGTCAGTGTTTGTGGCAAAAAATGACTATAGGTTGATTATTCGTGTAGAAGTTGACTTACTAGTGTGGCACCTGACCTTTGACAGCACTGGGCACTGGTTTATCCCGCAGGTTCGTCAGTGACTGGGACCTCTGCATAGTCTGTCCTGCTGCCCTTGCATTATATTTAATGAAATTTATGCTTTGACCGTTCACCTACAAATGAATGCACAAACACACTAAATCACATTGCGCTACAGGCCCGAATAGCAAATGAATAAATACATAAGAACTCCAGGTCCACTGTAAAACAAGGACCGGAACTTGATAATCTACAGTACTGTATTATAATTCAGTCTCAAAGATGTTGTTGTCGCCACCTGACAGTCAAATGAAATTAAAAAGCAAATAAAATCTTACAGGAGCGTCCTTAGCCTTGATACCTACCTACCCTCTCACCGACCTACCCTACATCTCCATTCCTATTTCTGCCTCCCTACCACCCAAGGAATTAGAATATTACATGAGAAACAACACATTTTTTTAACAGTCAGAGTTTAGGTAGGGATTGGTCTTCTGAAAAGTACTTGCCTTTGCGTTGAATCAATACACATGAGTTTCACTTTATCAACTGATATAATGAAAATGAACTACTTCAATGATATTCAAATTTATTGACATGCACATGTTTATTCTATACCTTCTTCATGCTGAAGTGAAAGGACAGGGGAAAAAAATCTCACGTTTAATAAAGTTTGCATTTTAGAGATTAAAAGTGCTAAAAATGGGAACATGAATTCAATACAGCAAATAGAGCAAATAAAGAAAATGGTTTGGGTGTGGAAATTTAGTTGAGTTGATGCATTATTTCTTCGTAAACTACATTTCGGAAATCTACATAATTCGCTTTTCTTACTTGCAAATTCTTGTCCTGTTCAGGTGTGCAAGAGTGACGCAAGGTCACAGCAGCAGGGCTTGAGTGTGGTCTTGGTGGTACTTTATTTTTTGAGTGACCCTTTAGAAAGTTTTGACACTGTGGTTTCACAACCGGACCGGTGGCCTGCACAAAAACAAAAAGGGATGAAAAGTGATCTACATCAATTGTATTCATGGAGTGATTCTCAAGTTGTGGAGGCGGTTGATATCTTTGCTTTTTGGTACCAAACGGCCCATAGACCCGTACCGGGTTGCAGACTGGTGATTGGGGATCTCTGCTCGAGCAGGCGCGTGAAGGTAGTGAGAATAAGTGGTATGGAAGATGGATGACAGAATGGAGTTATCCCTGTCTTTTGTGTGCTGTTCTAACTTTTTAATAGAAGCAATCGTCACCTGTAAGTCTATCATGAATTTGGATTGGATGTTGTGGTATTTAGTTGAAGTCCACAGAGCTTTGACTGGAGTGGAACGAGACTTCTCAGCTTGCACTTCTTTGCAACGTCTCTGGATGTCTCGAAGCCGTCGGATATTGTCTTTGCGAAAGTCAAACTCTGGCTCTTCTGAGGGACAAAACATTATGAAGCAGTTGGCATGATCAAACCAAAAGTCCAAATATGAGAAGAGAGTGGCTTACTGGGTTTGGTTATCTCTGTGGCAGGAAAACAATCTATGTTTAGGAGCTCCCTCATGACGCCTGTCTGCCCTTTCTCCAGAATGTGCGATGCATTGGCGCT